GAGAAAACATACGATTCGTTTGAGATTTTATGTCGAGAAAACATAGGATTCATTTGAGTCCCAGGGGGTATTGAAAAAACACTGTCGAAGAATCCCAAACAGCGCAACCGCGCTTTCTCTAAATGAGTACGAAAAGACCCAAACAGCGTGATAGCGCTTGTTTTATTTTATGTTGAGAAATAGCAGCGTGATCGCGCTGCTTGGGACTCAAACGGTTAATGAGATTACCCATGCCAGCAAACCTAAAAATAAAAATGGCAACATCATTTAGTTCCAGTAAAAAAAGTTTAAGCAGAGGCCTGGGGTTCGGCAAAGGCTGGCTTGCTCGGAATTACCAACAGGTGCAGGTCTGTGTGCTCCTGGCACTGAGAATGTGGCACAACAAAAGCACAGGTGGCTCTGAGTTTATAGCTTTTGTCCTCTTTCCATAGATCAAAAAAAGTTACATACAGCAAGTTGGAAAAAGATCAGATTTTTACATATAACTTGCAATATTCATATTTGGCTAATCTATGGTAGGTTACTTCTTTATAACATTTGAGACATATATTCCCAGTTTAAATGAACATCAAAATAGAGTTCTGAAGTAAGTAAATACTGAGACCATATTTTTAAATAACACGGGTATTTTCCTTCTGTAGATCAAATCCTTTGGGAATACAAGGAAAACAGTATTCAAACCATATTTAACCATTCAAGACCAAAGGCAGTTACCAATAACCTACTTAAAAATTTTTACCACACATAAAACAGTATTTCTTACATTTTCTATACTCCAAAAATTAATCAAACGTTTCATTGTTTAACTCAGACTGATTATTCAACAATATTAACTAGATACAACCATACAATGTATGTAACTTAAAAGTTAACACAGCAAACCAGTATGAAGGATCCAGCAATTACCATAACTTAGTAAGTTTGCAGAGGAAACACAGTAAAAATAAGGTATTGGCATAGTAAATCTTGCGCACGAATTCGCCATGACTCAGTGTGGATGGATGTGGAGGGCGGTGTCAGGACCATCAGGAAGCCAGATTCAAACCTGGAAGTGGCAGTAACTATTGGAAGTCAGACTACAGTGCACAGACACTCCTCCACCTCCAATCTCAATACTTTTTCTCCAAATATGGAACTGCTGGCAAATATAAATGAAACAAAACATAAAAGCAACAATATTTTTTAATCAATGAAAGGAGACATCTTATTATTCATCCCCATACAGGAAGTTTGAAAAGAGTCAGTACTTCTGGCCACCTGTGCTGATACCCCTTCCTCTACCTACTCCCCAGACAATGGCCTATGTCCCTAACTTTAAACTCCACAAAGAGGAAATAACAGTACATGTATAACAGTTATCTGTTGGACCGACACACACATTTCTTAGAAAATTTTCAGGAAAATCTAATTTATTCACAAATATGGTATATAATGAAGGGTCGGTCTCCTTCCTTTCAAAACAATCTCCCAATGGGAGAGGTAGGGACCTGTCTTATTTTTTATATCAAAATCCCTATGACACAGAGGTTCACTGGAAAGATTTTGTACAATGTTTTACACAAATGGATTAGCTGAGATAAACACTAAGAGGGAACTGTCTAATCTTAATTCTTTTATCTATATCTATGTATCTATCTATATATCTATATATCTATATGATGATATATAGATATATAGATATATAGATAAATATATGCCTAATATGCAAAGTGTCCCCTCAGGAGTTCAACCAATTATGAGTTAGATCGCTCGCTATGACGTGTGTTGACCACCAGGGGGAGGTGCGGAATGAAGGAAGGCCCTAGCTGGCAGCAGAGGAAGGGAGGCCCTGGCTGGGAGCCATCAGCCACTAGGGACACTACCTGTGCACAAATTTTGTGCACTGGGCCTCTAGTACATGCCCTCACCCCCCTACTGTCTGTGACCATTGGTGATGCTTATATATTAATAAATGCATATAAGTCCCTTGGTTGATCTCTTACTACCCCCTCCCTCCCTCCCCTGCCTTTCTTCTAAGGGTGAGAGCATGTGCTGGGGGGTGGGAGCAGCCAGGGAGAGGTCAATGGGGGGAAAAGAAGACATATGTAATACTTTAAACAATAAAGAATTTAATTTTAAAAAAAGATATACATCTATGTGGCAGTTTTAAAATAAGTCCACAAATCTTTCCTCCATTCAAGAGCTGAGCTGGCGTGGGAGGTAGGCTTGGCGACTGACTTCACAGAGTTCGCTGTGTGTGACTAGGTCATAAAAGGCATCAAACTTTCTCCTCCCGCTCCCTCTGTCTCCCTTTCTCTCTCGTCATTTACTCTGAGGGAAGCCACCTGCCATGTCACAAGGACACTCAGGCCACCTGTGGGCAAGGAACTGAGGCCTCCTGCCAACAGCCACATGGAAAACCTTCCTCAAAACAGGTGCCCCAGCCTCAGTGAGCCTGCAGGTGACTGTGGCCTCTGCCAGCCTCAGATGCAGTCACATGAGAGCCCCACGCCTGCACCAGCAGCTGAGGCCACTCCCAAATCCCCGACCCACGGGAATAGGGCGACATAAACCAAATGTGTGCTGGTTTAAGCCATGTTTTGGGGTGATTTGTCTCACCTTTTTGAGATGCCAGTTATTAAAATATAGATAGGAGGGTGTCTTGTTCACTCCTGTATCCCCAACACCTGGCATCTGTGTGCATTCGGTGAGCAATGCATCTAACGACAAGCTTGTCCCCAATCTCTTAGAGACACCTGTACAGATTCGCACCCAGAAACAGGGGCATAGTTCCCCAATAAAAAGGAGACTTTTTAACAAAGAGCCATTGGCCAGCATGATTATTTAAACAGGAACTAAAAGAAATTATCTAAAAAGTGCTGTTAGAACTTGCATAATTGGTTCCAATTATTGCGGGAGGGAGGGAGCTGCCTGTAGAAGGAATGCAGGGCTTCGCTCTATCCAGGGGACTAACAATCAGCAAGGACACAGCCTGAGAGGCCCAAGCACAGGGAGACAAAGGCCTCTGTTTTGACTTTCTCTAGAAGCAAAGCCACCAGAGACATTCACGCGAAGGCCCTCTGGGCACGATGCCCCTGCAGTGCCTTTCTGACTTGAGCTGTGTGGAGACCTCCTGCCTCTGATCCCAGCATACCTGGGGCAGGTGGGGGCACACTCTCCTGCCCCCCCTGCTGGCCTGAAAACGCCAAGGAAGAAGGCCTGGCACAGCTTACCCACACTGTATTCACACACTCCCTTCCTCCCTAATCTTTTTTTTTTAATATATTTTATTGATTCTCCTACAGAGGAGAAGGAAGAGGGACAGAGAGTCAGAAACATCGATGAGAGAGATCGATCAGCTGCCTCCTGCACGCCCCCCACTGGGGATGCGCCCACAACCAAGGCACATGCCCCTTACGGGAATCGAACCCGGGACCCCCGAGTCCGCAGGCCGACGCTCCATCTGCCGGAAGCCGGTCCATCCTTGCTGCTTGACACAGTCCCTGCAGGAAAGAAACATCTGCACAGCATATGTTTCAAGGGACCTGGTGTATATAGCATACTGTTCTTAATATGTTTGCTCTCCTTAGCACTATGTGTTTTAACCAAGGTCACCTCTCTGAGAAAGGTTGTTTCCCCAGGTAGGGATTTTTCCCTGAAGTTAGGGAGGGAATAAAACCCCTTAACTAAGTGCCAGGTGGGTAGTTAATCACTTTAACTACGAACAATCATGCTTAAGCTACATAATCTTTACTCCCTGGAATGGAGATAAGAAACGCCCTAACCTTTGGAATAGAAATTGATAGGATTAAAATCAACTGGTATAAATACAGATGTAACAAGACAACAGAACACAGAACCTAGAGACAGAACCTAGCAAGAGAACATGGCAAAAGATCCTGGACAGAACCTGTCTACAGAACTTGGCTGGAGAACCTAGACAGAACATGGCAGGAGAACCTGGATAGAACCTGGCTGGAACCTGTCTACAGAACTTGGCTGGAGAACCTAGACAGAACATGGCGGGAGGACCTGGATAGAACCTGGCTAAAGAACCTGATGACCGAACCTGGCTGGAGAACCTAGCAAGAGAACATGGCAACAGAACCTGGCTGGAGATCCTGGAGGGAGAACCCAACCATGCTGATCAACTGAACGCTGTCTCCGTGTCATTCCTTCTTCGCCGACTCCATCCACACCTTTGAGGACCCCTGGACCCGCTGTGGCTGGACCCCAACATCCATCCACTGAGCCAAACCAGTTCGGCATTCCTCCCTAATCTTAGAAGACTGTCAGCATAGAGGCTCCCCACCTCCTCAGAAAGGGGAGAAGGTTGATCCTGGCAGCAAATCCCTGTCTGGTTCCCTCTGTGACAACTAGGACTAGGAGGATTTAAAGCCAATCTCAGATAACCCGGGGCTAACTGGATTCAAATGCAAAGACCCCTGATGTTTAAAAAAAACCAAACAACTAGTGATGAGTGCTCTACTGCAGGCTGTGAAGCAGGCAAGAGGAGCAGAGCCCAGAGTCCCTACCAGAGGGAGGGGCATCCTTAGACATGCTCCACAGCCTGAGAATTGCTAAAAATTGAAGAGTTCAATGTCCCAGACCAGAGACCCACTCCTCCTACCCCCTGGTTTTGGGGCTGCCCATGGGACCACAGCAGGGACACCCAGGCTTTCAAGGTATCCCTCACTGTTGTCTCGGTTCAGTTCACTCGAGAACAGCTTATTGAGTATCACCTACCTGTTAGACACTGGGTAGGTTCTTTGTAGACATTATTTAATTTGATTCAATAACAACCCAATAAAGGGAGAAAAAGGAAGTGGGGAGAATGGAGTTGTCCAGCAGAGGTCGCCCAGCGGTGACCTCAGACTCCAGCCCAGACCTGTGCAGCCACAAGTCTTCCTGAGGACGGGCTCTGTTCTCCAAGGAGACAGCAAATCCCCACTTTTTTGTTACCAGGAAACCCCTGGTTGGGCTCGGGCTGCCTGTCCCTGTGTCCAATAACGAAGGCAGGGTCGAATCATAGAAGACATTTATTGAGAAGGCCAGCCAACCAAGAAGAGAGGGTGCTTACAAGCATTCAATGGGGACAGGATTATACAGGGGAAGGGGCTGGGGTGAGGCTGGGGATGCAATGCAGCTATGCGCAGCCCTGAGGGTCCCCAGACATCAGCTATTGTCCTTAATCATCAGGAAATGAGATGATGTTGATGAGATGATGTTTTGACTCCTAGTGGGTCGGTCTGACCATGCTTATTGGTTCTGCTTGCTGGGTTCACAGCTGAGTCACCTCCTCAGTTGCTTTGCACAGGCCTTGGAAAGGAAACTTAGGAACAACTTAACCCCCTATTCACATAAGTACTAGTATATGTGTTCTAAGATTTAAAATTATGTGATTATTTTTCAGATTAATGCAGGTGCTCTATCTATCAGATTATAAGTCCCCCTATCATTTGCACCAGCCCTGCTTTTCAATGGGTTGACCAAGGTTGCAATATTTTGAAGTTTCTGTGCTTGGCTGAATTCATTTAGAAACTATATACCTGCCGAAACCGGTTTGGCTCAGTGGATAGAGCGTCGGCCTGCGGACTGAGGGGTCCCAGGTTCGATTCCGGTCAAGGGCATGTACCTGGGTCGTGGGCACATCCCCAGTGGGGGATGTGCAGGAGGCGACTATCGATGTTTCTCTCTCATCGATGTTTCTGACTCTCTATCTCTCTCCCTTTCTCTCTGTAAAAAATCAATAAAATATATTTAAAAAAAAAAAGAATTTAAAAAAAAAAAAAAAGAAACTATATACCCTGCTTACTGAGCGACATTCAAGCTCTTCAGGGCTTCTGCCTGGGCTCAGCATGAGACAACAGGTTTCCCACAGAATCCATAGTAATCCCGGCAGAAGGGCTGGCGTTTCCAGAAACACTGGAAACAGCTCTAAGTTCCCCATAACTCACTCTTACCTCCCAGAGCTCTTTATGGGAATTATTCAATACAACCAATGCAGTGTTTAAAAGGAAGGTTCTAGACTCTAGAGGCTATAAAAAGAAGCAGTGTTGACCCCCTCTGCCCCACCCCATTTCTCCCAGCCTATATCACGTTAAATGCAGCAGGGAGGCATCAAAAGAGAAGGGAAAAGGGCGGGGAGGGAGGTGGGAGAGCAGAGCAGAGAGAGGGGTCTGCCTTTAACTCAGAAGTCCCAAAGCAAATCAAGGAAAGTGCCATCACCAACAAGCTTCCTTCTGTGTGTCAATGCTGCCACCTTCTGGTGTAAATTATAAATTCATTAGAAAATAGCGCCAATCATGGTCATTCAATAGGAGAAGCACAAGGATGTGATCCTATGAGTTTACATATATATCCCCCAAGTATTCCTGGGATCTACTTCAACCAGAATTAAATATATCTACTTTTCAAGCTCCTACCTTTTAAGATATACCACTGATCTTTTAAAATATACCACTGAGTGCCTGGGCAATTAGAGAAACTCCTTCAATGTTCTCCCTACATCCACATGGGCCCCCCCACCTTCCAACCCATCCCCCCACTCAGCAGCCAGAGTCGCCTGTGGTTTGTGACAACATGGACCAACCTTGAAGGTCTTGTGCTAAGCGAAATAAATCAAAGACAAAGACTTATCCCTTATTTGTGGAATAGATACAGACTCATCGATACAAAGTACAGCTTGGGGGTGTTTACATCAAACGACAGGACGACGGGGACTGACTAGTCAGAATAGACTGACCCCTTGGCCTGCCCTCCAGGTTGGCTCGGGCCTCAGCCAGCTGCTTCAGCACAGAGAGGGCCCCATAGAGGGCAGACAGAGGCTCCTGGGCTTCCGGGTCCCAGGTTGACCCGGGGCTGTTCAGCTCCATCTTCAGGCCACACTCGTCCAGCAGCCCATAGGTAATGGCCAAGCCCTCCCCCTGGAGTGGGGCCAGGAGCTCGGGCTGGAGGGTAAAGGGAGTGTTCTCAGAGCAGTTGAAGTTGGGCTCCAGGATGCTCCTCACCTTGAAGAAACAGTATCAGATGTTACAGGCCAGCATTTGACATCAGGAAGAGAGACCCTTCCAGCCCAAGGGCCAGGGGTCATGCAGGGTGACTGTGGGGGCAGGAGCTTTGGGGTCTCGACCTGTTCCTATCTTGTGGTCAGTGTGACCACGGACACGTTGTTGGAAATCACTGAGCACTGGCTCCTCAGCTGATAAATAGGGACACTGACACTTACTCAGCAGAATAGTGGGGTTTGGAATTGTGTGTGTATGCCTGCGTGTGCAATGTGTGTATGTACGCGTCTACACACACATATGTACTTACATATACATGCATACAGAGAGAGTGTGTCCGATTTGCAAATGGTAACTGTATGAGTACATCAGGGGTATAACTCAGATGCCTTGAGCTCCCCAAACCTGTATTCACAGACGGCTATTTTAGAACTGGGGGGAGGGGCCCTCTGCAGGGTTGTCATGGAAACTGAGACCTTCCCCAGGTAGACTCATGCCCACTGGGCCTGTTTCCCAGACAGAGATGCAGCCTGGATTTCCCAGGCCCACACCGGGACCTCCCCTCCCCTCCCAGCAGCAACCCGAGTCATCTCTCCTTTCTCAGAACCATTCTTATCCCGCTTCCCTCACTCTTTTCCAGGACGCCGGCCCCTGGGGATTGCTCACCAGGTCCCTCTGCGGGAGGAGGATCCTCTTCTCCATGGACTGAGCCAGCAGGACATGTTGGATGTCACTCAGCACTGGGGACAGGGGGACATTTGGGGAAAGAGTCAGATTTTCCTGTCCCCACGGTGAACACAGAGACCTTCAGAAGCGAACTCTGAGGCAGAGGAATAAAACTCGCTGGCATGAAGGTCAAGTTCCCTGCCCTGGAAAGTCCCCCTTCTGCTCGTGCTCATGGGATGGTCTCCAGGAAGCCACCTAACATGGTCCGGGGTGGGCTTCTGTGGCTGGACCTGGCATCACCGCCCACTGATCCGCTGCATGAACCTGGCTGGCCTTGCAGGCCTCAGGCTCTGTCACAGGGCAAGCTCATCACACTGAGCCCTGCTGACCTCGGAGAGGCCTGTGATGTGAGGGTGAAAAATCATAGCATGTCAAAGGGTTTGGAGAGGTGACACCTAAGGTAACCCTTTTGGGGCTCTGGGGGACCAACCTTGTGACTCCCCCATTCTTCCTCCAAACCACTCTTACCCATTAAGGTTTCAAGCAGGTAAAGGATGAGGCACTTTGAGCCAACCCCTGGATGGCAGGAGTCCTTTTGCAGTTCAGTTAGGATGGTGCCACCAGCGCCATCCAAATGACCGAAGGGTTCCTGTTCAAGCTATAGGAGACAGGGCTTATTAATGATGGTGATAATAACATCAGTGACTTCGCCTGTAAATTCTGCGTCTACAAGTGATTAACCAAGGAGTGGGGGTAATGGCTCCATGCACCCCCAGGGAACATGGAGCACCCCCAGTCTGTGAGGGCTGCCTTCCTGGCCCTGGTTGTTGGACACAGGACATAGTCCCCAACCTCAGACATCCTTCTCATCCCCCTAAGATTACCCCCATTTTCCTTTCCCCACACACCTTGGCAGCCCTACCTCTGAAACATCCCCATTTACAAGACGGATCAGGCTTAGGGAGTGGCAAGGCCCCTCACCGTGTCCATGAGGTCCTGAAGAGCCTCGCGGTCCCCAAGCATGGCCAGGAGGTTGGAGAACACAATGTTCTGCATGTCCTTCGAGAGCTCGGCTGCTTTGACGTTCTGGGAAACTTCCTCTTGTAGCAGCTGGAAATCTGCCCCTGGGCATTAATGCCAACCAGAAACGGAGACAATTCTCAGATTAGAACATTCCTTTCCCATCAACATGAGCAAAATTCCTCTTCCCTTCAAGCTGCTGACCCAGAGCATCTCTGAAGATGGCATGGTTGAGCTCTGGGATGAAACCACAATAGACGAAAAAAAAAAAAATGGAGAGTCTCTGCTGAAATGAGGTGGGGGATACATGCAGGGATGAGAGGATAGGATCCTGGAAAGGGTCATGGGAAGAGGAGAAACTGACCAGGTGATTACTCCTGACACGTCATAAATAATGTGGGTTCTACATTGGACTCCAGAGATGAAAATGTCAGAGATTCTAGCATTGGACTTCAAAATGAGATTGTCATGATAATTATATGAATATATAAAGTGCTTAGTAATACATACAGTTGTGCTTGTATCTTCAAGGTCTATAAGGAATTAACCAATGAGTGGATGTTGGGGGCTGTCTGCTTCTGCCAGGACACCTGAGGTGACAGGTCACTGACAGCAGGACCAGCCCTTCACCAGATGTTGCAGTGAGGATGCTATAGCGAACAGTGCGTGTGTACACGTGTGAGGGGGTGGGGGGTGAGAAAGTAAGTGATATGTGGTGAGGGAACCCCCAACATCCAAGTAAGCATATGAGGCTAGCCTCTACCTGGGACTCAACATTTGGGCACAAAGACCAAGGACCTTGAGCTGATTGTTGCATGCATTCAAATAAATGAATGAATGAATGAAAAAAAAGGAGAGAAAGGAAGGAAGGAGAAAAGAAGAAAGGAAGGAAGGAAGGAAGGAAGGAAGGAAGGAAGGAAGGAAGGAAGGAAGGAAGGAAGGAAGGAAGGAAGGAAACTTGGGCTAAGGAAAGTGTGAAAACTGAGTTTTACTTCCAAATTTAAAATTGCTTGAAAACCTCCAACTTTCCAACCTTTCTTAACTCTTCCTGACCCTTCTTTACCCATCCAATCCTACAGAAACTATGGCCAGTCCCCAGAGCTATGGTGCCCAGCTTATCAGATGAATGCAATTAGGACCCTCCACAATCCAGCAAACACATACTCACCTATTCCAAAGTAGAAAGTTTCTTCGCCGAGAAGAAAAATCAAATTAACACCTAAAAGCAAGTCTCTGAAGACTTATGGTTTGTCTACATCCTGCCTCCTACTCCCCAATCCCCTGTAGTCCAACCACCCTTGCCCTTTGCCCAGGGAACTACAGCCCAGTGGCTCAGATGAGGACGGCAAAGGCCACCACGTGGGGTTTCAATAGTAAAAAGGGGCCTCGTGGAGGGATCACATCCCACTTTACACTCTCTGTCCACCTAAGGACTATGGTTGACATATGCCTGCTGTTGGAAAGAGGAACAGAAGTGGTCACTCACAACAGCTTAGTCTCTGCTCCCCAAACTAACTCCTAACACTTCTCTCTCTCTCTCTCTCTCTCTCTCTCTCTCTCTCTCTCTCTCTCTCTCTCTCTCTCTCCCTCTCTCTCAACATTTGGGGACAAAGGTACCAAGGACCCTAAGCTGGTTATTGCATGCATCCACAAATAAATGAAGAAAGAAATGAACAAATGAAAAAAAGAAAGAATGAGAGAGAGAGAGAAAGAAAGGAAAGTAGGAAGGAAGGAAACTAGGGCTAAGAAAGTGTAAATTTGGAAGTAAAACTCACTTTCCTGAGTTGCTTGGAAACCTCCAATTTGGGTTCTGAGATTGAGTCTTCCCTACCCAGCAGGCTTCAGGGTCCCTCTGACTAAATACCTAGTTAAAAGGGTTCCTGTATTCTTTCTACAAAAAGAATGGCCACTGGTCATCTACCTTTCTGATCCCCTAAATTTGTTTTAGAGACACTTCCAAGGGTTCTGTCCTCTACTGCCACCCTCCTCTTCTTTAACCTCTTCCTGTTTCATGCCAGTTCATCACTCCATCTGTCCCACCTTTCCTTACCCTTCCAGACCCTTCCTTACCCTTCCCAACATACAGAAACTATGACCAGGCCCCGGGGCCATGGGAGCAAAGGCAGAGCTAATCTGCCCTGCTCATCAGATGAATACAAGGAGGACCCTCCCCACCCCAGCAAACACATACTCACCAATTCGAGGGGTGGCAGATTCCATGCCACCTAGAAGAGAAATCAAATTACCACCCAAAACTTAATCTCTGAAGACTTATGGTTTGTCCACATTCTCCCCACTACTCCCCAACCCCCTCTAGTCCATCCAACCCTGTCCTTCACCCAGGGAAACAGAGTCCAGTGGCTCAGATGAGGATGGCAAAGGCCATCACATGGGGTTTCAGTAGTAAAAAGGGGCCTCATGAAGGGATTACATCCCACTTTACAGTCTCTGTCCACTTAAGGATTGTGGTTGACATATGCCTGCTGTTGGAAAGAGAAATAGAAGTGGTCACTCACAACAGCTTAGTCTCTGATAGACACACACACACACACACACACACACACACACACACACACTCCTACTCCTTAGGCTGAACTAGAGAAACAGAAGAGCCCCATGGACAGGACATCACTTGCAGACACGCTGTGAGCTTAGCCTTCAAAGTCCATCTCCATTTTGTTCACACTTGTCAACACTTATAAAACATAATTTTGAAGTTTGAGTTCAGCCACTGACCCCACCAGATTGGAGAGCTCATACTCATTCCATCTATTGCCACTGACAGGAGGTCACTGACTGCAGGACCCACCTTCACCAGATGTTGTAGGGAGGACACTATAAGAAACAATGTGTATGTGTGTTTGTGTGTCTGAGAGAGGGAGGGAGGGAGAGAGAGAGAGAGAGAGAGAGAGAGAGAGAGAGAGAGAGAGAGAGGAAATTTTATGTGTGGTGAGGGAACCCCAAATCTCCAAGAAGACATATCAAGCTGGCCTCTACCTGGCACTCAACATTTGGGCATAAATGCCCCAAGGACCCTGAGCGGTTGTTGTATGCATCCACAAATAAATGAAGGAAGAAAGGAATTAATTAAAAGAGAGAGACAGAGAGAGAGAAGAAGAAGGAAGAAAGAACAGAACAAAGGAAAGAAGGAAGGAAAGAAGGAAGGAAGGAAGGAAGGAAGGAAGGAAGGAAGGAAGGAAGGAAGGAAGGAAGGAAGGAAGGAAGGGAGGAAGGAAGAAAAATGGGGCTAAGGAAAGTATACATTTGGAAGTAAACTCAGTTTTCTGAGTTGCTTGGAAACCTTCAGTTTGGGTTCTGTGATTGGGTCTTCCCTACCCAACAGGCTTCAGGTTTCCTCTTAATAAACACCTAGTCAAAAGGGCTCCTGTATTCTTTCTAGAAAAAGAATGGCCACTGGTCATCTCCCTCTCTCATCCACCAAATTAGCTTTAGAGACATTACCAAGGGTTCTGTCCTCTACTGCCACCCTCCTCTTCTTTAACCTCTTCCTGCTTCATGCTGGTCCATCCCTCCAACTTTCCCACCTTTCCTGACCCTTCCTTACCCTTCCCAACATACAGAAACTATGGCCAGGCCCCGGGGCCATGGGAGCAAAGGCGGAGCTAATCTGCCCTGCTCATCAGATGAGTACAAGGAGGACCCTCCCCACCCCAGCAAACACATACTCACTCATTCGAAACATGGGAGGTTCCATGCCACCTAGAAGAGAAATCAAATTACCATCCAAAAGTTAGTCTCTGAAGACTTATGGTTTGTCCACATTCTCCCCACTACTCCCAAACCCTCTCTAGCCCATCCATCCCTGTCCTTCACCCAGGGAACTAGAGCTCAGTGGCTCAGAGGAGGATGGCAAAGGCCATCACGTGGGGTTTCAGTACTAAAAAGGGGCCTCATGGAGGGATCACATCCACTTTACAGTCTCTGTCCACTTAAGTACTGTGGTTGACATATATTTGCTGTTGGAAAGAGGAACAAAAGCAATCACTCACAACAGCTCAGTCTCTGCTCACCCAACTCACACACATGTGCAGGCATGCACAAGCGCGCAGGCCCATGCGCACACACACAAACATACTTCTAGCTCAGTACTCAAAGAAGGCAGGTGGCTCTTCTGTGGCCAGGGGCCTGTGTGGGTCACAGCAGAACGATGAGGAGGTGGTGGAGGAGCCTGGCTGCCGAAGGCTTTTGTGAGTCTGTCAGGGTTGAGCCCCAACAGGGTGTTATGGGTCCAAAGAGGGTCAAGGGCTCAGCAGGGCCTGAGGTCCAAGCAGAGAACCTGCCCAACTCACCTGCTGGAAAGGTTTCCTTATCATCATTATCATCTGCGATGTGGTGAATGCCTACAGGGGAATAACCAAGTCAGCTGAGCCAAGGGTATCCCTGTTGGAGCCTCTCACCCCCTTGCACCTGCAGCCCCCACACTTCCTCCTCCGGACCAGGTGTGCTAGCTTTTATCAGGGTGCCCTGGGGACCCTTTGCATCAGAATCACCTGGGACACTGTGGAAACTCAGAGTCCCTCACCCCACTCCATACCTTCTGCATCAGGCTCTCTAAAAAGGAAGCTAGAACCTGCCTTTCAATAGGCACCTGCGTGATGGTTTTCCACTCTAGTCTCACATTGGAGATTGGCCTTTTCCATGGAAAGAACATCGCCTCCTTCCTGCTCTTTGTCTTCCTCTCCTGGAGGCTCCTCCCTCACATGTCTACTCCCTTCCTGCCAGGCTCCTGGGTGATTTCACATTTCATGTAGAGAAATGTTCAACATTCTGAAACTCCTAACAGATTTAAGTGTTTGACAAGGGACAGGAGCCCATGAAGGAAGGAGACAGAGGGAAAGCAGTCCCATTATATCAGACCTGATAAACCATGGTGATGCAGTAGCCAGGGAGAAGAGAGTCAAAGGTGGGAATAATGAATGTGTGGTAGTTGATGATGATGTGATTAAATCCCTCGAGGACAGACTGCAATGGGGCAAGGCATGGACACCGAGGAGGCAGTGAGCAGGGTGCAGAAGATTTTTTAAGGAAGTTGGCAGTGAGGGGACACTGGGTGGGAAGAGGGGTCACTTGGGTGAGGAGTTATAAGATGGCAGAGACCTGACGTTATGGTCAGGTCAGCGGAAGGGTCCAGGTGAACTGGAGGGAGGGAAGACAGATTTGGCTCAGCCACCTCATCAGACATTTATCTCCATCAGCTCTGGAGCTAAGGTCTCACTTCTATTTCATAAATAAGATGGGGGACAGAGGAATTCTGGTTTTCTCCAAAGCCACAAAGCAAGCAAGTTATTGAACTGTTCTTCATATTAGTTTACACTATGAAGTGTTAGGAGGATGAAATTAGTTCATGGAAATGAAATGCTCACTGGATTGGGCCATTCTTTATAAAGGTTCCTGCTAGTCACCCTTAGGCCTGAACTGTAGAAACAGACAAGCCCCATGAGCAGGGCCTGACTTGCAGACACTGCTGTGAGCTTAGCCTTCAAAGTCCATCTCCATTTAGTTCACACTTGTCAACACTTATAAAACATATTTTTGAAGTTTGAGTTCAGCCACTGACCCCACAAGATTGGAGAGCTCATACTCATTCCATCTATTGCCACTGACAGGAGTTCACTGACTGCAGGACCCACCTTTACCAGATGCTGCAGGGAGGATTCTGTAGATAGCTGTTTGTGCGTGTGTGTGTGTGTGTGTGTGTGTGTGTGTGTGTGTGTGTGTGTGAGAGAGAGAGAGAGAGAGAGAGAGAGAGAGAGAGAGAGAGAATTCAGCCCCTGATCTCTGATCTCTGAGGAGCTGGACCCCTACCTTTATCAGGCTGACCTCTCCCTGGGACTCCACATTTGGACTCCACATTTGGGCAGGGAGAGGCCAAAGATCCTGAGCTGGTTGTGTTCATAGCACCCACTATTGGACCCTGGTTTGTAGTTGTATTTGATGCAAATGTTTCTCCCATGTGAAGTCAAAACCCAGTTGGGTATCGGGCAACTGTGCATTTTGAGTCAGGTGAGGGAGGGAGAGATGCAGATAAAATTCTGCATTACAGGGCACTTCATTTGCAGTTTTGTTCCTGGTTGTGCCAATATGTTATGGGCTTTACCATGGGAGGTATGTGTAACCTTGGAGGTCTCTGTGCACCACCACCCCATCCTCCACGTGAGCTGCTGAGAATGGAGGGACCTTGAATAGAGATGAGTGGGAGTAGGATCACACTTCACCCAGTGCTAAGCACATCCCTTCTGTCTCTCTCCATGTAGGATACTGTCTCTGCCTCCCAGAACAACAATTCAGTGGGATTTTTCTTGGAGGTGACTGTGGTTAGTGGTGATGTATGGGCCCTGGACAGCTGGAAAATGCTGCTTCTCTCTCTGAACAGGTAGAGAAGCCAAGGTTGTCTGATGACGGTCTCCCCTTCTCATTTCTCTTCCCAGGAGAAGCAGGCCCCCATACCTCACCACCTCCTTCAGCCTCTGCTTACCCCAGCCTGTGCTGTAGAAAAGCAGCTGCTTCCTCTTATATGCCACCACCGAGCCCTTTGGCACAGTCAGCTTCTTCTCTTTCACTTGGAGACTCCTCCCCTGTCCTTTACCCTGGGAACAAAAGCCCGGAGACACCGTCATACATGCATGTCATTTTAAAGTCAAATACATCTAGAAAGCTCATGAGAAAAGGGATCAGCAGCTCCCTGCCCTCACCCTCTCTAATCCTGGTTTCTAGTTCCTGCTCTTTTTTCCTTGTTTCATCCCATATTTACCTTCACATCCCTCAATTCCATGTTGATACTGCAATGATTTGACTTTTTCAAATTCAAGTGTATCTAGTCACTTCCTCTTATTGATGATGAGAGTTTCATTTTCCTACTCTTTATAGGGGCCAAAGCAATTGATAAAAGGAAAATACCTAACTCCAGCCTCTTCTAGTTTTCCATGCAGGGCAAGGGCATCAATTCAAATCTAGTTCCCTCTACCCTCCTGCCACATCCAAGAGGGGAGAGAGCACTGAGAAGCTCTTGTGAGTTCACAGCCCAGGGCACAGGCTCACTAAAAAAAAAAAAAAAAAAATGCTGGGACCCATCCATAGGACTATAGAGTACTTCTCTTCTCATACATCTTACCACCATATCACTAAAGGCTGATTTACCAGAGTTCCTTTTATCACATGTATCATGTCGAACTTTCAACAAAAACAAAAATGACAAGGCATATTCAAAGGCAACAAACAACAGTTTGAAGAGACAGAGTAAGCTGAGAATCAGACTCAACTATAACATGGATGTTGAAATTCTTAGACCTGGAATTTTAAACCACTGTTATAAATTTGCTAAAAGATCTAATGGAAAACATAGACAAAATGCAAGAGCAGATGAGTAATGTAAGCAGAGAGATAGAAAGTCTAAGAAAAAGTAAAAGAGAAATGCTAGAGAGATAAAAATACTGCAACAGAAATAAAGAAATCCTTTGTTTGTCTCACTAGTAGACTGGACACAAGTGAGAGAAAATCCTCTGCAATTGAGTAAATCTCACAACTAAAAAGCAAAGAGAAAAATGACTTAAAAAAATGAAACATAATATCCAAGAACTGTGTGACAGCTAGGAAAGTTGTAACATACATGTAATGAGAATATAAGGAAAAGAGACAAATGAACAGAAAAAAATATTTGAAGCAATAATAAAGGAGGATTTTCCCCAAACTAATGTCAGACATCAAATCACATCCAGAGCCCATGAATTCAAACTACAGAAAACAACAGATAAAGAAAACATATTAGAAGTCATGAGATACTGAAAGAAGCCAGATACTTCTTGTCTGCTGTTATTTCATATATATATACTAGAGGCCTGGTACACAAAAATTTGTGCACTCAGGGGGTAGAGGGGGTCCCTCAGCCCAGCCTGTGCCCTCTCGCAGTCTGGGACCCCTCAGGAGATAATGACCTGCTGGCTTAGGCCTGGTCCCGGGTGGCAGAGGGCAGGCCCAATCCCTAGGTGCAGGCCCTGGTCGGGCTCAGAGCAGGGCCAATTGGGGAGTTGGGGCGCCGCCCACTGTCATGCACAGAGCAGGGCGGATTGGGAGGTTGCGATGCCACCCCTAGTCACGCTCAGGGTACGGCCGATTGGGGGGTTGGGGCACCGCCCCCGTCACACTCAAGGCAGGGTCGATAGGGAAGTTGCGGCGCCACCCCCTGTCACG